TGGTGTCTCAGATTACATTTGGATTGAATTGAATGGCGGAAAGTATCGGTTCCACTCCGACCAAAACAATTGAATGTGTGTGCGTTTCTCCTGCGTGGAAAGAGCAAATTTGTTTACCCTATACCAAAGTGATTACGAACAAAGATTTTAAACGAAAATTGACGATATCGGGTGGCCAAAAAAAAGACCAAAGCTTGTTTGAATCTTGAATTGATCGCCGGAAAGGAGATATCCAGTGGCGAAGGTTCACTTTTGACAAACATTTTGTGCCGAAATTGCGCAGACAAAAACGAAACCGTAGTTCGGAAGATTCTTGAAGTAAGAGAAAGCTTCAAATCATCGAGGAAGTCCATTGAAGCCGAGAAAGGCGGAAAACAATGTGACGATAGTTGTTGAGAATCGCCTCCGGACTTCCAAATACCAGTTTAACTTTAAGATCTAAAATGTCCTGTAACTGTTGTTCAGGACAGTCGTCTCCTACATAGGAAGCTGGAATTCCACGGGAATTTTGGTTAGAGACCTGATCTTTCATCAGGGAAATAAGTGGAACCACCACCAAGACGATGGAGTTGCTATTCGCTTGAACTACATTCAAACAATCAAACTTCTCCTAGCTCCGGTTGGCTCAGAAACAAACACATCTCTTCCAGACAGATGTACTTCCACTGTTTTCTTCTGGTAGTCACGCAATACATGATATCGCATGGCCTTTGAAGCTTCTTTAATGGCTTTCGCAATCGACCCAATATTGAATTTAACCGCAAGTCACGTTTCGTTTAGCCTGCGTTGCAGCCGGACGTGTCATAAAATCCCCGATATAGTCCGGCGGTTCAGACTGTCTGCGACGCAGGCTAGTTTCGTTGCGCATAGTTTGACAATTCAGTCCCCAAGGGATATCCAAGAGACCTCTAATTGGTTGAAGCGCAGCGACCCGTTTTTGGGTCGCTAAAATTGGCGGCAATCAGGCAGGAAAAGTCATCCCTCCTCTTTAAATGAATTAATAGGTTATGTAGAATCGACGGTTTCCCTTGAAATTTGGTCAGAGCGTTCACTGATAGATATGGAAAAAAATCGTGTCGGCGAATTCTTTTATTTCAAATACTTTTCTCGTGGCGGTCTCTAACGCAACACGTTACGCGAAT